CCCGTCCCGTTTTATCCCGGTTGGTCCAAAACGCCCCGGGCTGGGGGGCTCTTGGTAGGATATATCCCGACCGACATGAGTTGGGTTTTTCTTGTTGTTTGGGCAGGCTCTTTAGGTCGGGCGTCGTTTAGCCGAAGCGGTCGGACCCGACCGCTGGGACTTCCCGACCGATATCGGTCAACGTGCCTTTACCTTATGAAGAGACGAAGAAGATGAAAAGAAGCACGTGGCAATGTTACGCATTGACAGATAGGGCTTGCCGGGTGAAGACGCGTGGAGGCTACGTGGGTCACATGCCGGTAGGCCGAAAGTTTGTCTCCGGCCAAAGGCTATAAGTACCCGCGGCGGCTACGGTGAGGGGGACTTTTGGACGATCAATAGGTTATTTACAGAGCTGCCCGACCGCAGTCAGTCGGCCCTCGGAATAACCATCTAGATTGCACTAGGACCACTTTTGATCAATAAAATTCCCCTTTACTATTATTTTTATTCTCATTCAGTACTTTGACCGCATTACGTGGATATTTGTACTATTAGAACCGAATACCGTTTGAGCTTTGAATTGCTATTTTGTTATATATTAGACTTTGGATATGGACTATGTAAACACCAAAACACATAATATAGAACTTTTGATAACAAACCATAAAGAAATCAAATAAAACATTTACGAGAGATACCCGTGAGAATATGAGCTGAACGGCAGAGCAAGCAGCAAAGACTTGGATTTACTTTTTATTTATTTATTTATTATTATTATGATTTTTTTTTTTTAAAAATCAAACGGTATTCGGTTCAGTTCAATTTTTTACCCTCGGATCGATTTTTTATAGAACCGTTCGCTATACAAGAATCCAATACTGTTCAGTTGTTCGGTATATTACCGAACCAAACTAGTTCGGTTCGGTTCGAGAAAACTAAACTGAATTGCTCATCCCTAAAGTTAATTACCAAATGGTCCATTGACTATAGCAAAATTACCAATTCGGTCCCAAGTTAACGGTTGACTAACGGTCAAACAAACGGAGGACCAAATTGGTTAAGATTTTTAAAGTTGAGGGACTTAATTTGTTTAAAAAATAGTAATGACCAAATTGGTAATTTCGCTATAGTCAAGGGACCATTTCGGTAATTAACTTTAATAATTATCATACATTATTTAATATTTTAATAATTTTTTTTAAGATTAACCTTTAAAAACATATACAGTTTGAACAATTTAGGGTTATTTTGCTCAAAATAATATCATTTTGAGTGAATAACCCATTAAAAAAAAAAGAACAATAGCTAATCTGCCGACTAGGCGGTCCACACTTAAGCGGCCTAGGCGGTCTAGTCGGCCACCTAGACCACTGATTATGGTGATATGCTAGGCGGCCGTCCAACGCATATGTGGAAATTTTGCAACACTGATAAAATCAAATTCGGGATAATTCATGTAGTACCAATGGGTAACTGGACGATAAAATTTCAGAATGAGTTGACAGTGGTCAAGCTTGTAGTTGCAACTCCACGGTTAATGTGGGATCGTTACATAAAAGTAAAAACGAGGGACGAGGGATTGTAGTTACAGCTGTTGGGCCTGCCTTTTAAATCAATCTCCGGCCGCTCAGTGCCGCTATTGGTGCGAGTCGACCCACTGTTTATGAGGGATCGTTACGTGGGAGTAAAAAATGAGGTATTGAGGTAATTTCGTTATCAAGATAAGTGACTCAAGAAGAATAGAGAAGTGCAAGTAGTTGGAGTCCTGAGCAGGATGCACGCTTTGTTGAATTCTCGCTGAGGATAAATTATGGTGAATAAGGATTAGAATCACTTTGATAAATCGGAGATGTAAATATAAATCAAATGTCCAAAAACATGTGACACCGGGGCATACCCATGATTAAACCAATCGTTAAAATTAAAAAACAAACAAATACACATGTAAATAAATCATTTAAAATAAAACAAAAAAATCCGGGATGCACAACTAAACCAGGTCACGTGCACTATGGTCCTCCGAATCTGCTGCATGCATTTCCATGCACGGCTCAAACGAAAGTCTTGAAGAGCTGAATGTAAAAACAAATCTCCATAAAGACTCAAACCCAGGTCTCACGCCAACAAGTTGGGATGTCTCCCGCCACACTAACTTGAATCATTAAATCTATTATGTCTCAAGAATATGTTAACAATGTCACGGGCGGGGGGGGGGGGGGGGGGGGGGGGAGGGGGGGGGAGCTTCACATAAAAAATATAAATCAACAATCATCACTGCAAGCAAATTTGAACCCTGGCCGGGGTACTTAATGTACACACTCTCTACCACTGCACCACATTCACATTTAAGGCTAATAGCTCTCCAAAAAATCAAGAATGAAAGTGCAACAGTAAATGCGTCTACAAAAGGTATGGAGAATTATTCGAAATTCACCGTTGTAAGAGAGGGCCGAACCCACGCCATAAGGTTTCTAAACGACCTCTCATACCATCAAGCCATAAAATCCACCTTGCTAAGAACCTTGTAATAGAAAATACTTAAACCATAGTGCCAAGAAACAGGTCCACCCACCATTACGCGGGTATACCTGGTCTCAATAACCATAATCCATGCACGTCCGGCAGAACCCCACGTGCGTATCTCCTCCAACGCGGTTTGCAGATAAGATATGGAAAGAATCAAATCATCACCATAATAATATGATCCCTTGAATCACGCAAATCCCAAATTCATCACCCTTTCCATACCGAGGCCAGCGCCGGTCAACCATCGGAGAACCGCCACCACCCACGAACTTCCATCTGCGAATCGACGACGCCGGTGAACAACAGAGACAGTCGACATGGCCATAGAACACCCTTGCCGGAAACACCCATCCATGGACGGAATCCACCCAAACTGACCGGAAAAATCAAGGGTCGTCGGACAGATGAACGGGAGCACCCTAATCCATCTCCAACGCACTCCAACTCCAGCGCCAATTCAGATTAGAAAAATCCACAAAAAGATGAATAACAAACAGAACACACCGGACCTTTACTCACCACCATTGCAATCACCCTAACACAGACGGAACCACCCCAACATGGCCGGAAAAATCGAGGACCATCGGAAACTGGGAACATCCACACATCTCCAATGCAGTCCATACTCCAGGCGCCATTTCAGAGAACCACCATCTACATACAGGGGTCAAATAACAGAGGCGCACATGCCGGAAAAGTTCCATTCGTCGGACAAAGCACCCCGGAAAAGTTCCTTTGAAGAAGAGGTCAATGTTGCTGACAGAATGTTTGCCATTGACTATCGTTGGTTTGGTTATTGAAATCTTAATTACCGGTTATTTGGCAGATAATTATGACTAATTATTGGATTCAGATGCACAACAAATGATAAGTTTATGTGTTTACTTTATTATTATTATTTGTATAAAGTTAATAGTTATAATTAATTAATTAATTAATTAATTGTTTTTATAAAGCTAAAGGGGCTTATTTGATTTTTATTTATTTATTTATACAAATGATGGTGATTTTGGTGGTGGAGATTTTTAATGGTTTTTTTTTCTTTAATAGCAAAAGAATGATAGAGGATATTTGGGATGGGGATGGTGAGATATGACAATGGAGGTGGGACACAGTGTTAGCAACTAGGGTTTTACATAGTATGATGAATGCTATTTGGCCCTTTTGACTTAAGTTTTTATGTATACTTTTCGTTTATTCTTGCGCCTTATTTTATCTCTATTGATTATATGACTTATTTTTATTTATATATTTTATTTAGATTTTGAGCTTTTTTTTTTTGAAAATTTTCTATGGTGCTTCATTAGAAAAATGCTGAAATAATGTCAGGTGGGTGGATATCTCAGTACATAGCAGCAAGTTGCTGATAAGCCGTAGTAGCTAAAGCATGAGCTAAATAATTGTCTGATCTAGAAATAAAATTAAAAGAACATGACTGAAAAGAAGTGGCAATCTGCCTGCAGCTGTCAATGGCATAGCCAACGTAAGAACGAAACGCAGTGGTTGGTGTTGTAAGATAGCGTTGTAGTGTCAAACAATCCGTGTAAATCTCGATACTCTGTTCCCCTCGATCCTTTAACCATGATAAAACTTCCTTGCACGCCAAAGCCTCAACCATAAGTGGTGATACACAAGTCGGTAATGGTGCGGTTAGGGCCGAGATGTAAGCTCCATCATCATCAAGCAAAACAGCCCCTACAGTGGCCTTGCCTGTCTCGTGTAAATATCCCGCATCGACCCGACATCTTCTTACCAACGGCACGGAGTGACCGGCGGCGTTGGCAGCTTCTCGGTCGGCAGTGGGGCGGTGTTGGGCAGTGCGGCGCTCGTCCCCTCTCGGCATCGAAGCAGCGTGTGTAGCGGAGGTAGTAGCAGCCGAGATGGGGCGGGATTGGATCCATGCGGTCTTGGCAGCAGCAGCGGCTCTGAGTAGGGAACCCGGGCGTGGTAAATATGCCTCCCAAACTGCACCATTTCGAGCTCTCCAAATATTGTATAGAATTGATGCTGCATATAACATTCCATCAGAATCTAAAATATTTAGTAGTTCCCCAAACCAAACATGAAAAATATCGTGACAATATTGGGGATTGTAAGGTTGGATTGTTCCCAAATGTTTCTTGCAAAGTCACACAAGACTAATGCATGCATTGTATTTTCTTGTGATATCCCACACATGGCACAATATGGGTTCACATCCACCCTCTTTAAAAGCAAGTTTGTAGTTGTAGGCAATATATCACAAATGGCCCTCCAAAAAACATTTTCCATTTTGGTGGGATTTTGAGTCTCCACAAGGCTAACCAATTCGCAAATGCCCCATGATTATTCTCATAATCTCCCACCAACCGTCTGTACCCGCTTTTCACATAATATAATCCTCTTGGGTCCCCATACCAATACCACGCATCATTATAATCCCGGGATACAGGTACCCTCATAATTCTTTCCACATCCGTAGGTTGAAATAAATCTGTTAAAATATCATTATCTCATGTACCAGTTTGTTGATCAATTAAACCCACCACTCTGGCCTCTCGTAGCTGTATTGGCATCTCTGTTTGTACCATAGGATCCTGCTCATCTAACAACCATGGGTGAGTCCATATGAGTGCAGATTCCCCATTCCCAATCCTTCGTCTGACCCCACTACAAATTATACTCTTTGCTGCCATTATACTCCGCCAACAAAAACTGGGGTTATTCCCTATCTGTGCATCAAAGAAAGTACCTTTGGGAAAATACCGGGCTTTATAAACACGAGCTACTAAGGAATCAGGTTTAGTGAGCATTCGCCATGCCTGTTTTCCCAACATAGCTATATTAAACGCATGTAAATCCTTAAATCCCAATCCACCATACTTCTTAGGGACGCATAATTTGTCCCAAGCCTTCCAGTGTATTCGGTTATCTGCCCCAGAGTCCCACCAATATCTATTCATGGTCCTCTCTATAGCCGTGCATACTGATAAAGGTAGCAAAAAAACACTCATTGAAAAGGTAGGCATAGATTGTGCCACACTTTTCAATAATATTTCTTTCCCTGCCTGAGAAAGCAGCCTTTTATTCCATGATCCAATCCTTTGGCGTATTTTATCTTCAATATATGCAAAAGCTGCCTTCTTGTTCCTTCCAACAAAAGAAGGTAAACCCAAATACTTACCAAAATTCGGAGCCTGCCCCACCCCCAAGACTTGAACCACACTTTCCCTATCCATATTACTCGTATTTCTGCTATAGCAAATACTTGACTTATGGTAGTTTACCACCTGCCCAGATAGATCCTCATATACTGTCAGGCATCTCCTTACCTCATTTGCCTCCTCCACATTAGCCTTAAAAAATAAAAGACTATCGTCCGCAAAGAATAAGTGAGAGATTTGGGGGGCGCCTCTTGACACTCTACATCCATGAATTAACCCCGTGTTGTTAGCCTGTTGTAGTAACAACGAAAGCCCCTTTGCACAGATAATAAACAAGTATGGGGACAGCGGATCTCCCTGTCTTAAACCACGCGTGGGTATTATTGGGTCACTCCTTGAGCCATTCACCAGAATACTGTAGGAAACTGTGGTCACACATTTCATAATCAATTCAACCCATTTATCATGGAACCCTAACGCCACCATCATATTACGGAGAAAGGGCCACTCCATACGATCATATGCCTTAGCCATGTCTAGCTTAAGTGCACCCCATCCCCCCACTCCACACTGTTTCCGATTCAGAAAATGTCCTACTTCTGCAGCTAACAAAATATTTTCCGTTATCAACCTATCCGGGATAAAAGCACTTTGTGACTCGGATATTATCCCTTCCATCAAAGGCTTCATTCTATTAGCCATCATTTTAGCAATTATCCTGTAAATCACATTGCTAAGTGCTATAGGGCGTAAATCAGTTACTAACTCTGGATTATTCTTTTTAGGGATCAACACAATATCTGTTTCATTCAAACCAGATGGAAGCTCACCAGATTCAAGGCAGTTAAGCACAAAGCTCGCGACATCCCTCCCTACCACATCCCAAAAATGCTGATAAAAACCCGGATTCATTCCATCCGGTCCCGGTGCCTTATCAGGATACATTGCAAACAATGCATCTTTTACCTCCTCAAGATTAAAGGGCCGTAATAGTGAGTCATTCTGTGCCTGTGACACCCTGGGTTGTATCCCCCAAAAAATTCCCCTCCAGATCCCGGATTCCCAGAACTGAAAATATTACTAAAATAATCCAGAATAGTATTTCTCATAGGCTCCCCTTCCAACCAATCCCCATTGTCATTCATTAATTTAAATAAAGTATTCTTTTTCTTTCGGTGCGAGGCATACCTGTGAAAGAATTTGGTATTAGCGTCGGCCTCCTTGAGCCAGTGCTGCTTGGCCCTCTGCCTCCAGTATGCATCCTCTTGGGCCTCAGTGTGACTCAGAAGTTGCTCTATTCGCTGAAATTCGGCAAGTGAGGCCGAGTCAGTGCGTCCTCTCAAACGCTGTTGATCCCTTTTCAATCTCATAATCTGTTTCCCATACTTATGGAACCAACCCCCACCCCAGCGTGTTAACCGGTTTCCACAGTAATGAACACAATCCTGTAAACCCTGTCCCCTTCCTTCCTGCCACGCCTGCTCCACCACACTCCTACACCCCTCATCATATAACCAGGCCATCTCAAATCGAAAACCCCTCTTCCTACCCCCATCTCTCCCTATTTCCTCCTGGATTGTAAAGAAAATGGCCGAATGATCTGACTTCCTAGTTCTCAAATTCATGACCTTTACATGGGGAATTATATTACGCCACTCATTCGTCACCAAAACCTTATCAAGTTTCTCCTCAATCCAATTTGCAGTCCCTTTCCCCTTCTCCCAGGTATATGGATATCCAATCATCGACAGCTGGGCCAATCCACAATCCTCAATCGTCTCCCCAAAACCTCGAAGAAGGCTATTCGGATGTAGATTTCCCCCTCTCTTCTCATACTGATATAGTAGATCATTAAAATCCCCTACCACTACCCATGGGAGATTCGATTTTGTCGCCAACGTTCTCAACAAATCCCAAGATTCAGCACGCCTACTACGCTTCGAGAAACCATAGTAACACGTCATTCTCCAGGGCGGATGACCTGTCATAGTTACTTCAGTATCAACACAGTTTCTTGAGTAATTGAGGAGCCTTGCCGTATTATTCTTTTTCCACAATAACGCTAATCCACCACTCAAACCATTATTGTCAACATAAAACAAACCTTCGAAACCTATTGTGACACGAAGCCGCTCAGCATGATCTCGTGCCACTTTGGTCTCTATTAGAAATACAAAGTCGGGTTGCTTACGGGACACCATGTCCACCACCTCTCGAACCGTCCGTGGATTACCCAAGCCACGACAGTTCCAACTCAGCGTACTCATTGGATTGGGCGGGTCTGTGATCTAGAACCCGCCATAAACAAGTTTTTTGAGCTTTCCATCATCGTCACATCAGTACTATCCCCTTCATGCTCTCGACGGCGCTTGGCCACTGCAGCCACCACCTCTTCGGCCTCACTCCTCTCGGCGTCATCACTCGGATCATTCCGTACTGCCGGCTGCCTCTTCGGGATCCCTTGCGCCGGAAATTCTTTCGGCTTTCCGCCAAGGGGAATTAACCAGGGGGCCCCCACCTCCCGTGGCCCGCGATTTCCCCCCACTCGTAACTCCGCAGTGTAGGGATATTGTTCTACCGGTATTCGCGCTTCCCGAGCCTTTAGGCAAAACTTATAGGAGTGTCCCAACATACCACAACAGAAACAGAACGTGTGCAATCTCTCATACCTAAAATTAACCCAACATGTCGTTTTATCTCTTTTCAGCAACTTCATTCTTCGCTTAATCGGTTTATCCACTGGTATGGACACCCGAATACGATAGTATGTGATCCAAGGTGCCCCAATAAATCTTTCGTCCAGCTTAACAAAAGTACCAATAAAATTCCCGACTTGCTCAAGAATTGGTACCCCCGTGTAGCCCATCGGTAAATCATGCACTTGTACCCATAGGTCAATTGTATTCAGCACCACATCAATCGGTAGCACCCCATCCAGAACCTTCTTGCAAACTAACGAGTGATTATTGAACGACCATGGGCCCTCATCCAGTACATACTCCACGTCTGTCTCATGATAAAAAACAAAAAGGAACAGATTCGGTTGAATCTCCGAAACCTGAACCCCCCGTACCGGTTGCCAAACAGATGCCATGACTTGACGCATATACTCCGTTTTAATGATCTTATTTGTCAGAAATCGCCCCACAATTCCCCACGTCTGTTCCTTCTCCGCCTGTTCGTCTCCTTCCGTCGTCCCCGCCGGCGCAAACACGGCGTCCTCCTCCTCATCCAAAACTATATCAGCCCACCGCCGAGTCAAAGCCGCAACACCGTCCGCCTCCGTTGCTGCCATGTCGTTCGTAGCATGTGCGACTAGCGTCGCAAGCCGGTACAGATCACCGGAGAAGCTTCAAGAAAACCGTATGAAAACCTAGCAAACCCTAGGGGAGGAGAGAACTCTAGAAAACCCTAGAGAGCAAAGTAAATTACAATAATAAGTATTATTTAGATTTTGAGCTTAATTGTATCATTTTACATATAAGTTTAATGTTTGAGAAATAATATTTTTTATTGTTGTGATTTTAAAAAATAACTTAGCTATTTTCAAAAAAAAAAAAAAAAAAAAAAAAAAACTTAGCTTGCAATTAAAGCATTACATGACAATGTTATAAATTTCCCTTATAACACTGCGAAATTTTCAATAATATTGATGTATAGTCAATCAAATATATATCTTCAAAAACATAATAAGTGTGGATGAAGGTTATACCCTTCATTTATACTAGTTTTTGCCCCGTGCGATGCACGGCATAAAATTTAAGTAATTTTAATATTTATAATATTTTAAAAACAATAAAATAAAATATTAATCATGAAATTAAAACTTATTCTGAAATGTATTTTTCTTTAACAATATTAAATTGGTTGTTATATCGAACATCACATCTTGTTAGCATATATTATAAAGAATTGTGTTATAACATACCACATGAGATTTAAAAAGTGTACATTAAAATAATTTTATATATATATATATATATATATATATATATATATATATATATATATATATATATATATATATATATATAGACACACACACACACACACACACATTTTTATAAAAAAAAATTTAAAAATTAGGAAATCAAACAATATACAATAAAAAAATTATGAAATTAAATTTTCTTATAGATAAAAACATTTATTAATATGATTTGCAATTAAAGCCTATAGTACATATACTTGACAATATATAAATAAAAAATACAGTATCATCATCATACATTGAAACTAACTACGAAAATCTTTTCTTAAACATTGTTTAATAATAATAATTATATACGTACAACATATATAAATCTAAACTAAATATGAAATATTTCATGACATGAAAGAAAAAATAAAACCTGCAATGCTAAGCCCAATAAACATTTAATTATCTATCCATATAACCCAGTTACGTTGCATTTCAGCCCAATACCCAAGCCCATTAACCCAATTATAAAACCTCATTACCAAACCCTAATCCATATTTTTTGACGATTGCGCTTCCGTCTACTCTGTTGCGTTCGTCATTCTCTCTAAAATGTTCACTGACTTACACGAACCTTCTCTGTTTCCGGCGTCTTGACACATGCGATTTTAAATCGTCGCACATCCAAGTAATCCACTGCTAAAAAACTTTTTAGATAATCTGATCGTAGCTTTTGGCCGTTGTGGAATTGCTTTCTTCCCCAAATGCTGATCTGAAAAATCGGGTGACCGGAGCAAATCTAAAACAAACTAATAAATACAGTATCATCTTTAGGTAAAACTTATTGTTTAAAACGAAATTAAGAAATACATCATATTTTCTAATTACTTAATATCAGTTCAATAATTATTTGTTTAAACTTATTCGTCTCTCCAATATTATTGTTCATGCAACTGATTTAAATTTTAAAAAACTTTTTTTCAATTTAGTAACTGATTTAGTAACTTTAAAAAAAAAAAAATTCCCTCTCAAAACTATATTAGAATGAACAATTAAATTGTTGTCGACCAACAAAATTGTAAGAATAAAAAAACAGGTTAATCTTATTTTTTAAAATTGGATACTCTAATTTTTTTTTCCAGTAAACAATAAATTAATTTATATAATAAAATGTTAACTTAAAAATACTGGAATGTATTACCTGCTTCATCATTAAATAATAACAATAATTGTAGATTAACATGTATTGAAAATAGATAAGTATGATGCATTATATACCTTAAAATGATGCAATTTCATTTAATTGGTATTTTAATACCTTAAAATAATGCAATTTCATTTAGGCGGGAAAATGATTGGCAAAAAACATTTTGCTATTATTATATAGAGTAAGATTCGTTTTTTCCGTTAAGTTTTATGATACATTATGCTATAAATGTTGTACTATACAATATTTTGGACAAACATACCCCTACCGTTATAACTTCTGTTAAACTTTCCACTATTGCTACCATGCACATGCATCCACCATATATTTTCTTATTTTTAATAATAATAAACTATATCTATCTATCTATCTATCTATATATATATATATATATATATATATATATATATATATATATATATATATATATATATATATATATAAACGTAAAATCCTCCTTCACAAATTTCCCCCCCAAAATTTAGGGGCATTTGTGTAATATCCAAATTTAATTAATTAATTAATTAATAATAATAATAATAATAATAATAATAATAATAATAATAATAATAATGCAATATACACACCAACGATTTTGTCTTTAATTAATTTCTCCAATTAAGTTGTTACCAAAAGTATATTCTTTTTTACCAATTCAGTCAAAATATTAACCAATATATATATATATATATATATATATATATATATATATATATATATATATATATATATATATATATATATATATATATTATCATCACTACCAATCTCTTTAGACCAATATCATCTTCTTCATGGCTTCCAAACTCTTTTCAAGTCTCTTCCTTCTGGTTGCTTCATGTAAGTCCATTCATCTTTTATATAGCTTTCACCCATAAAATATTTTACTATGGGTATGTTTTATACCGACATTAATTTTTCTGGTAAAATCATATCTTCAACTTCACAATGATATATTTTAAGAGTCTACATTAAAAATATAAGACAAAACATATATGCTTATTAGATGTGTGAAAACACTAATATTGTGAGTTGATATAATGATTGCAGGTATTTGGAGTGGTGGTGAAGCAAGGAAGAATAATGATTTGCCATGCAAGACAAATAAGGATTGTGTAGCTCCGATCCTTTGAGTGTTTGCTATTGTGACCATCTTGATAAAGTCTGTTTTTGTTATAAGAGACCACCTAGGCCCCCTATGGTTCGTCCACCCGAATCTGAGGAATCTCCGATTTACAAAAATTAATTAAGAGATGTTTTGATGTGTTGATCAAAGTACTAAATCATCATTTCAATTCTGAGAAATAAATACTAGAGCTGCCTTGCCATTCCGTTGTCTCATCAAAGAGTCTCAAACTCATCTCTCTGCTTTCTTTTCGTATGAATTTTCTACCTTTTTCTAACTATATTCCCCCGTATTTCAATATGTTTTGCAGTTTATATTGTCTGGTATGAGCTTGAAGATATTTAAGGATGCTCTACTTCAACAAGCAGCGTTATGGGTTTACATGGTTCGCTGGGCAAAACATCAATCAAACAAAAGCTAAATCGAATTGAGGGGTGATGACGTTTTAGATGAAGGCCTTTTATCATCCTACTTTGTCTTTTTCTAGAGAGAG